GGAGTGCAGAATGCGGAAGTTGTAGCTGTACGCTTGAAAATCGCATTTACTGGATCTTAGAGGAGACATTAGATCAGGACCTGCCCGTCACCACGCCCGGATACAGATTCGTACCCGTGGAATACCCAGGACATTGTATACATGCGAACGATGGTTAAACATACAATTCACAATGGCTCTAAATCTTATTTATTTTCCACTTTAAAACTGTTTAATGTGATTTTTGTAAGCATTACAAGTAATTTACAAGAGGTTCGCTGTTTCTAATATGACACGAATATAATGTCTGATAAATGAAAATTTAACATTATAAATATAATTTTATTTGGTTATCACTTACAAATTGAATAGTTTTCCTCGAATCTATGGTTTCCCATGTTGTTACACACACACACACACACACACACAAACACACACACGCACGCACACACGCACGCACTCACGCAAGCACACACACACACACCCTTACACACATGCACGCACGCACACATACACACACTCACACACATGTACGCACGCACACATACACACACTCAGACAAACACACACACGTACGCACGCACGTCAAATAACTAGAATGTATAAAAATGTTAAGGTTATCTTTATTTCACCTGATATTTCTTTGTTCTCGCAACTTACCCGTGTGTGAACAAAACTGTACCGCGAACTTCAGTTTAACGAAACGAGTCGGACCAGGTGTTCCACCAGAGCAGTAAACGTAAACTCAAACCAAAGTGATGTCGCGTTCTAAAAGTGTGAACCGGGCTGGTGATAATGTATTCGCTCGTTACACTAATGTGTGACTGTGAATGGAAAAGTGTGGAAGATTTTTCCAAACATTTTTGAATAATTATTTAGTTTTATGTTTATGTCTAAAAGTTTTACAAGCGAGATTACAAAAGGTTGCAAAAATGAAGTCGAATTCATGCATTGTTACACGCGGTAGGCGAGGACTTTATAGCAAAGAACGTGTTCGACTGTTGGATCGCTCGAACTTTTATTACAGAACGGCATATGTACCGCCGATTTTTTTAATTGGTTTTAAGATCACTGATCCACTAAATTCGTTCAAGCATTCATTTGGAAATAAAAAGTTTGAAAAATATACGAACCAAAAATCAAACTTAAATGTATATATGTATTTGTAGTTTGACACAACTTGCCTTAAACATGTTTAAAGTTCACCAATTAGTTGAATTGTCAATTTATTTTCTTTAAGCAGATTTCAGGTTTAGATACTTAAGCGGAGAATCGACAATTTTTTTTAAGTATTTCATATTTTGAAATCTTGGGGAAAATCATATTTTTTCTTTGAATTATTAAGAATATCATATGCAAAATAATTCCATGTCACTGTGACTTATTGGTAAAATTGGATAAACTTGAGTACATACATAAATCCAGACAATATTATTTATACCTGTTGGGCTCTACTGTATCTCACTCCAAATCATGAAAAGGTGAGATTTACTAGTAGTATGCCTTTGAGTGCAGTATGTAAGACAGCAGGCACAGCAAGACACTGCTGGCGGACTTTTTAAGTCCCCGAGGTTTGCCGTAACCTGCTTGTCACGTTTTAATTCACTTGAATAGTGACACGGCACAAAAAAAGATACATGCAATTTTCGCTATTCTAAAATAATCTGATGTATTAAAATAACGAAATTAATTTAATCATGGGACTACTAAAGTTTTTGAAGTTAAAGAAAAGAAGTGAACGGTCTTGCTAGACAAAGCGAATATCATACTTTTACCGGGCTGATATGCAGGTATAAAGGTAACACCTATGTTGTCACATATGTTGTCAGATCCGATCTACTTTAGGTACAGCGCAACGCGTCTATTTCAGGGATCTCTGTTTATAATTTGTGTGATTGATATCAGGTAACGCACCAATTTGTAGTTGGAAAAAGATATACTCGTCGCTAACGAACTGGTAATGATATCAAGTTTTAGTGTCACCTGGTACAATGTGACCGGTGTTGACACGCTTTTTCCCATTGTTTGGAAATTTACACTATGGAGTATTCATTTTCTGCCAGTCTTATGAACGCAGTTGTCCTGTAGAGTCAATGAGTCAGTTTAAAAACAATTTAAAAGACCCAATATTTGCCTAGATTTCCGAGAAGCTTGCGTTTTTAAAACTTGTTTCATGCAAGTCGGCGAAATATTGAAGTTATCCCAGGATTTCCTTCGTTTTCAGAAAATTCTGTTCAAAGACAGATTTTTCAAGGGTAATTCATCGTATATACCAGAGTTGGCATTGGTTAATAGGATGCGCCAATATTAAATATTGAATGTTTTATAGAAGTTACTTGTGAGACCAAGACAATGAGAGATATCACTAATGCGGTTGTTGTTGCATCATCTTACAATATTTTATGTCTAGGTGGAAGGTCGAAATAAGAAAATTACCCAGAGACACAATATTTCATAAACAGACCTTTGATAATGGTATATCTAACATTTGGTTAGAAACTAAATAGAGACATTCAGGTAAAAGTTCATTAGAAGCCGAGGTTATTAATGTATAAGATTGCTAATTCACCAGTCTGTTTTTACTGTAGTCAAGTACAGAGGGAAAATGATAAACTCATATTTGCAATGAGTATAACTCAATTATATGACATTGTTTGTAAAAAGAGAACTCTGTGGTTTAAATTTGAATCTGTCATAGCTACTGTTGTTTTTATTTTTCCTCTATTGAGATGTGTTTACATCAATAGCTGGCGGTCAAGGAGAAGAGAATTTTTCACAACAATAGTGAAGTGGTTCAATGTAGTTGTGTCATGCAACGTGTGAGTATTAGGTTCATAGATGTCAGTGGTTTGTGGCCAATCTTAATTAAATTATTAAATTGTTATCATATTTCAACATATCTAACGACTTATGTCTTGAACTTAAAACTTATTATACGACGGAGTTATGATACAAAAAACAAGAAAACATCAACATATCCACATTGTCATAATCCAGACTCAAATTAAATAAAACTAGGGCAAAATATAAAATATTTACAAGGCGACTCCTGAATAAGGTAAGGAGAATAAGTACGAGTTTTAAAAAATTAAGCGCCTTCTGCTTTATGACATCCGCCATGTAAACATTGGTCAATCCAAATAAGTAAGGTCACGTTCTCAAATATAACCAAGGTATACAACAACATACCAACAGGCAAACTAACGAGCATAAAACACGTCCAGCGTCATGTAATATTTCTTTATGTGATCGCTATGACGACAGTAAATTTCTCCATAAGTTGTTCAATTTCGTATACTTGATGTCCTAATTCAAGTGCGTACACATTGTACATCAATATATCTGGAAGTAAAGTTGAAGGAGGATTTGACAAAGTCCTATAAATTTATCCTCGTATGAGAACAAACACAAGGTAGCCATGAGATAGGTACAGAAACCAGAAATTCTTTTCCAAGTTATTTGATAGAAAATGTTTGTTTTCGTTTCAAACGAGATAAAAAATGAAAACGAAGAAATTATGAACATAAATACCAGCATGTCAGAAGATCATAATTCATTGTCACATGCAATAAAACTGGAGCAAAATAAGAACGAAAGAAAACTTTACATGGAGATTTCTGAAAAAGGACAATAAGACCAGATTTTCCGGAAGATTATTCGACAACATCAGACGCACAAATCTCCTCTCATTTTCCCCCTACGCGCCAAGACTCACGAAATATAAAATAAGCCTTCAACCTAAGGTGTTTATATGTCGTCAACTGACTGACAAACGACATAGTGATTCCATTGTGAAATATTCTATTTCTTTGTGCGACATGAAGCTGGACGTGTTTGATGCTCGTTAGTTTGCCTGTTGGTTCTGTTGTTGTATACCTTGTTCTTTTCTCAGGAGTCTCCGTGTAAATCTGTCTTTTGTTTATATTTTGCGATAGTTTTATGAAATTTGAGTTTGAAATATTATTTTGTTGACCTGTTGGTATTTTCTTGTTGTTATTTATAACATGTCATATGAATATGATATATCGTATGAAAAAAAATCTCGTTTAAGAATCTATATATTTGTACAAATTTCGACTATATCATAGATTTACAACGTTTTCACACTGCAGAGGACCAGTAAATGTTCTCGAAAATGTTACCTACCACCTGGACCACAAGATTGAAGAGGAAGCTATCTATTACAAAAATATATGAGTGTATAAATTAAGTGAAAATGGTGTGCTGGACAAATTTTTCATATCGATAATTAAAATTGGATTAATGAGACTGGTTGCTTGCAGTAAAGGTCCTAGATCAAAAATGTGTATGCTTACTTCTTATAATATACACATATACACTTAGACTCATTGAAGATGTAGAGAAGGTCATAGGTCAAAATATGCTCGTATGTTGACTCCTGATAATATACTTGAGCCGCTTAGACTCGTTTTATTTGTAGAAAAGGTCATAGGTCAAAATTATCGGTATACGTTTGATACTTTGTATGAGTTATAGATTAGCATTTGATTTAAGGAAGAAATGTAATCTCGTGGATATAAATAGTTTGATAAGGCGGTATGTCACAAAATATTTTAGGATGTGCCTTTCAGTGCTTATGTCCCGGGTCAAAATCAGTTAAATATCTATTGGGAAATTGTTTGTCTGGATGTTCCTATTGTTTGTTGAAGAACCATTCTATTAAGTCTGGGGAATGTTTGGTAGAAAGAGAATAAACTTTTATTTGATATGGTACAAAATCGTGCTAAAATTCATTTGTATTGTGTTTTTTCAGTTGTTTAAGTTATTATCTTTATTATCGCGAATTTTTTACGCATGACAGAAATATATTTCAACTCGAATGAGATTGTTGATTAACTTGTGCAGAGTTATTCTATAATAATGTAAAAGTAAGCATAACAAAGTCTGATAAATCTTCAGTCATGTAGCTTTCTAATGAATCAGTTTTAATGTAATCCAATAATTCAGTAATTGATAATAAATACCAGTCACGGTACAATACCTTTCGTACCCTGGTCTGGTTACATATTGTCATATTTGTCTGCACTATAACTGTTGTGCAGTTTTGCATTTAGAAGACGATGTTTTACTCTATAAACGAGGTTAGACTTATACCTAAAAATAGTATCATCATTCACTGTTAATTTACAGTTCATACCATAATCTGATTTGCATTTGCGGTAATGGTGTATGAATGCAAACTTAGGACTAACTTCAATACATTCGTAATGTTCCTGGTTCGGTTTGCTTACATGGTGTATCCCGAGCTCGAACACATTAACAGGGTTCACAACCAGTTTGGTTCTTATTTTACTCAACTTCCGTGTTCTAACAGTCGTGTTCATTGTTGTTAGCTTCTGTAGCTCTGCCGATTTCCGTTGATCCTCGCTGTTGAAATTTGAATCAAAGAATGCACTTTGGAACTTATAAGCTGATACAATTTCATCATTTACATTTGCTTCTTCTTGTAAATATGTTAAGAGATCTGGAACAGTGCTTTGCATTTTTGGGACAATGAATTCATCGAAGTCAATGAAAGCAACATGTTTAAATTTGAACATTGTTCTATATAAGCAATCCCAAATCGAGGCTGACTGACCGTGGTACCAAATAAAATTAACAGGAATGGTGAGATTCCATTGCATGACGGTCGCTAAACCTATACTCTGGTAATGATTTAAAAGTAAAGATAGTTCATTAGAAACAAATTTTGTATAAAACACAAAATGTTGAGCTCCTAGTATCCTTGATAATTCTATAAATTCTGTTAATCGTAAAATATCAACGTCACCAAAGAGTGGCGGTACACATATAGCAAACTTTTGCACATCCATTGTTCTTTTCTTACTATTATCAATAACATTCATAATTAGGTCTGTGTTATCCACTGAAATCACGACATGGTCAAGTAATACGTCGATATCCGGAACTGCGCATGAACCAATAAAAGAAGAAAAGTATTTCATATGACCTTCACATGTCTCGTACAATTCAACATGTGATATCACAGTGCTATTGGACGAATTTCTAAAACGAAATTTACAAACTAAATTTTTGTTCGGGTCAACTCTCTTACCTATTAAAACTATTCTGATGAATTTAGTAGCTTTTCTTTCGTCTAAATATGCCGAGTATACTGTTGTGTCTCCTGGCATCACTTGCATATTGAGGTGATACTTAGGAAGAACGGCGTCATTATCAACTGATTTGCTACGTAGGTCTATCACTGTCTTATTTCTATCCACGAATTTCTGCATGTTTTCATCCTTATTTTGTAATGTGAGGTTGGTATTTCCTGCGTTTAAACCCCCGGGAAAACCCGCCATTATTCGTTTGATCTTATCTAAATGAAGAATTTTAGAAGTACTATTTTTCTCAATGTGTTGTTGTAGTAATTCCATTTTCTCTCTCCATACTTTCAGCACTGCTTGAAAATTCATGTTTTTTGTACTGGAGAAAGCTTTGTCCATTTCGACTTCCAGTGGTTTTAATTTATTTCTTGCATTCTCTTCTGGAATATTTGTTGTGCGTACAAGGTTTTCATGTTGAATCATATCGTCATTAACATTGTGGCTATATTTAGGATTCCTTATTCTGAAGAGCTGATGCTTCGTTTCAAGGAGTATGTTTTTACTGGTGTTTGACATGACATTTTCGTCGTGTGACTCCGAATAACCATATTCCTCGCCTTCCACGCTTGGTAACGGAGACAGGAGCACCGTAGAGGTAATGTAAACGGTTATTGTTAAGTACACTATAAATAATCCGAACAGAAATCGTCCAATTCGCCGAGAAATCATATTTTTTTCTTGAGGTGTGTCTTTGAATTAGGAATTTGCGACTATAAGTCTCTGCCGAACACGAAATCTGCAAATAATGAATAAATACATATTTATAATCGTTTAGTGAAATTTAGATGTTCTTGTAATCGAGCAAGGTTATTTTCACATCATCCTTTTTTAATTCGATGTTAGGATACCCATGTTTCATTCAGAATCATGGAAAAATGGTATATAAGATTCCGTGTCAAAACTTTTCAAATTTCTGCATTGACATTTTCAAGAAAACCTTCAACATTGCAAGTTGTAGAAATTTCTGGTTGCCATTAAGTCCCCGAGGTCTGCTGTAACCTAAAAGTCACGTTTTAGTCCATTCAAATACTGGCACGGTTCACAACATAAACATGTACATGACTTTCTTCTAAAATTATCAGATGTATTAACGTTATAGTGATTTGGGAGCTTGTGCACCTCTCTATCTATATAAATTGAATGTCTTCAGTCACCTCCTACGTTTCAAAATGTAGACTCTTAGCATCACTGTGACGAGTCCTAACAGGATGAAACAGCTATATGATGTATCGAGCTTTTTTTGTATTGAAAAGTGCTTATAAACCTTTGTTTATAGAACGTGATACATCCTTAATGGTGAATCAAGCTGTATCCATCAGCAATCTGTCCCTCTAGGACTCGGCAATAATGCCAGGAACCAAAAAAATGTGGACATCTAGTAGGAATGAAAATCAAAAAAGGTCTGAACAAAAGATGGTTACATAGTGTTATATACATTTATTTTGATTGGAGATGCTTTATTTGTTGTTTTATATGAAGCATGTCAAGGACAATTAGGCGACGATGTTTAGATATCAAGTTTGATAAACTTTTATCCATTATACTCCCAGTATTTCTAAATTTTTCTTTCAAAATGTCATTTTTACTTCTGTAAGTCATAGTAATCTTTCACATTGTTGATTAAAGCATTGACATTTAAAGACTAGTGAAGACATCTGTTTCTATAGATATATTCTTTAATGAATTATAAACAGTGACATTAAAACTTCTGTCAATAATAAACTCAAACAGGAAGTGTTGGTTTTTAATTGAAGCGCTATATAAAAAGTGTGAATAACTATGTAGTAGATTCTGTACTTCCTGTTATGTATTAATGAAAATGAAACTAAAACTTTAAATAATACAAGGAAGTTTATCTTGTTTACATATATGATAAAGTAGGCCTAGTAAAAGTGTAAACATTTTCATCTTATCAGTGGTTTTAAATCATTTATCTGTACATAAATACAATTTATGACATTATATTTTGTTAATTCCATGACGAACTGGTCATTCATGTTATATGTGTGGTTTTCGATCTTTTTACAGATAGATTTTAACACCAATGGCTGTTAGCCACATCACTACGCTACTCGACCACAACAGGGGAAGTCTTGGATTATAACAATTATTTTCATACACAAATCAAAGGTTAGTTCGTGTGATTAACCACTTTGCAGCTGTTTACGAGTTCCTTAGGGAGATAGGATTTAAGAACCCTGCTAAATTTCGGTCATTGGATGAGTATTCTACATCGTCGTTTTGGTTTGTAAGTCCCCTACAATTCCTTACTCAGCAGATCAGTCCCCCCGCCCCAGTCACACGGCTTGGCCAACAGCAAACTAATCTAATCTTGACGCGTTATTCATTCTACTATTGTAGTACATCTACAGTTGTCAAGCTCAAATTGAAGCCACTCAAGTACAACAGATGTTATAGTCATTTAACACAATATATATGGTAGGTAATAAATTTAAGATATCATAACTATGTGCTTTTGGTAACATTTTGAGGTCAGACACCCCCACAAACATAGCCAATGACATTCATCAATTGTAAATCTCCCCGTTACCTTTATTGTGCATGTGTTCAATCGATAATATGTAGACATCTTTATTTATCTTGATTTATTTACATTCTGTAAGAAATCGATTTTTTCCGTGTTTCTTTTTCGCAATTATCGAGGAAAAATTAAAAACAAGAAAAAGAAATTTAATTTATGAAAGCGATTGTGGCTTCAAGTAAAGGCAATAACACACAGCCGGGTTCGTGATAACACATCCTTTTATCTAAAGCTTTCAGTAAAACCAGAAACTTTTGAAAAAAGAATGAAAATAAATAAATAAATATATGAAAAAATAAAATAAAAAATCCACCTTTATAGTAATGTGCATTTCATTCTCAACAGATAAAGAAAAAAAATCCACTGAAAAGTTCCTATAAAAATCTAATTGAGATATTGCACTTATATACAAATCAAGACATGTTTAAGGATATTATTGTTCACCCCGTTGGGCGTTGAGATGTATCGTTTCAACACAGATAACTAAAGACAAATATTACACGGTGTAATGTCCCAGTGGTTCAACATGTAAGCGTGTTTGTTTCTAACGCAGTTAAATAATCCGATATTAAGGATCTTTAAGGTGATACAGTCAGCTCTTATCAACTACAGGACATGGATTCTGAAGTATTTCCCTCGGTGGAAACACGGATTATCTCTGAAAACATTGTACTTTATTCAGCAGTTCCCTGTGTTATTTCCTTATTTTCACTTTAACATTGTCTATCATTGTCATATATTTTAATGTTTCTAATCATTTAGGTATCACAAAATACGTGCAAAGTAATACTCAACACTGAGATATGATGCACTCAAGCCTGTCTATAAAGGTCATTCTAGGGAGCAGAGAAAAGTGGCCTTTATTCACAGGTGGCCTTTACGATAAGGAGTTGGATTACTATGAATTACATTATAAAGGGGACCTAAAAGCGGCCTCTATAGACATATGGCCTTTGTGTAATATTGGCCTTAAAGATGGGTTTGACATGTTTTTCCTGTTAAGAACGACTTATTTGATGAAATTTTGATTAATGACTTTAATGATACCATAAATATATATCGCTTGTATTTTAATACTTGATGCATTCCTTGATAATAAATGTTTTTGTAACATAATACATTTAGAATGGAAGGTAAACGGAAGGTAACAGCGTATCAGACGAACTACGACTAACAAAACAGGGGAACATGCACTATAACACCAAAAACGCCCCCCTCCCCCATCCCTCACCCCGCAAAGGGAAAAACAAAAAACAAAAATTCATGATAATTATCCCAATTGTGACACGTGTATATAATGACATGTGATTAATTAGTTATATACAGCTATGTGTAAGCAAGGTCAACTGACATCATCGATGTTTTTCAGTCACTTTTCCAATGCTATGTTTGTAATTGAAGGTAAATGATCTCAGACATGTACAATATATGTGTTTAGAACTAAGTAGGAAGTGATGTTTTCCGTAGTAAAATGTATCTTTTTTTTTAAAAAAAATGTATAGAATGTTGTTTTATCCATAGGGTGGATATTGAAATGCATTTTTCTAACCACTGGCTGTAGTTACAGAACTTGCTTTCACAAAGAGAAACCACATGTTTGTTAGCTATACTGACACAGTGTAATACAACCTCATAGAAAAGCACGGATCCAATTCAGGCTATCCCTTTTTCTAATCATTCCATTTTTTTCCAGATTAATGAATTAATGACAAATGGCAAACCCTTTGAATTCCAAAAGGTCAAGGGAAAGGTCAAAGGTTTTTACGGTGCTACAATGTTAAATCAATACTTCTTTATATAGAAAGCTAGTTCGTGAAGCTAACAACCTTTTTATCAAATTGACAAGCTGACAATGGAAAATTGGATTTTTAGTCCTGAGAAAAGTGGCGATGCTTTTTAAAAAGAGAGAACGAATTGCATCAAGCACTGGTAGCTTACAAGCTGGGTTCCTAGACAGGGAGATTTCATTATTATATAACTTGTGTTTTAATATAAATACTGCTTGAATAGTGTCCAAGAGTGTGACGTCGTATGATTTCTAGGATAACAGTAAGTGGGCGATATGTTTCCAGTTCCGTGTTACAAAAAGGAGTTATAATTCTCTCTTTCATAAATAAGCAATGAGGACGGTATAAACTAAAGACAAAACAAGCCGTGCTTTACCAAGTAATTGCATCTTAAATCGTGTGAAGTGAAGTGAATTGTTCATTTTGTACCTCTGCACGGCATTTCCATTTTTTATTGTTTTAAAATTGAAATAAGTTGTATAAAATCTTTAGTATCTATATAAAAATTAAAAAAATAAAATAAAATAAAAACATGAATGATTTATTTACATAGACACGAGAGTCCACAATTAAGATAAGTAATTGTTGTAGGGTAATTGATCATTAATAAGCTAATTAGCACAGCATTAAGTAACCCGTTTTATCACAGAACGCACCTGTTCTGTTATGTAACACTTCCGTGCCATATACACGTGCACCAAGAAAAGACATTTAAGGAAGAATCCTCAACTGTGTTCGGGTAGAAATTCATCACACATGTCTCGTTTTGTGTTGTCTATAAGTAAACGACAATTGGGATCAGAGGTATCAAAATAAGTATTTCCTTAAAGAAAAAAGAAAGATTTTATGATAAACGAGCTCTTGTACTTGTGCGTTTATAATTTGAAATTTATCAAACAAGTGTGACTTATCAAATCACATTAATTCGCCCAATAAAATACATATCACAAATAAAATGATGACGGAAATTTCATATAATTAATAACTAACCACAATCCCGCTTCCTGAAGTTCTTTTTTCATCGGATGTGATGGATATAATCTAAATCCTGACATAAAAATTCTTACCTTTTTAAAATTGTTTCTCGTTTTGTTCTGATCTCTTCTTTAAGCCATTGTGATGTTTTAAAGCCTTTAAAACTCCCAGTACTTAGTTGTTGCTGTTGTTGTTGTTGTTTGTTGTTATTTCCAGTTCTTGATCCTGTAAAAACTGCAACATGTAAAATAAGTAAGGCGTGCATGCATGTAACACACATATTTCCTATCTGCGGCGGAGTAATACGGCGCCTGTCATTTCAGATCGGTTCACCCGCTATCTGGGTCCGCTATGAGCTTTTTCAA